CTCGCAAAAAATTTGCAAGAGAATAAAAGACATACAATTTCCTTACTTGCTCTCCTCACAATGGCCTTGATTAAACAGGAAGTTTGATGAGAGTCAGAGGTTATAATAACCACCTGCAGTGACAGACTTATGAATTATTTTTGTCTCCTATTCAGGGCTCCACTGCCAAATGGGCTTCGAGGAAGAGAAGGAGTCCTCCGGAAGCTCCTTTGCTTTTTTTACACTTCCGACTGGCTCTATTAATCACTTCCCATTAGCTGATATGCAGAACTTTTCCTTTCAAAAAAACAAAAAACAAAACGACCCAGCATTGTCAAAGTTTGTGGTTCCTTTTGACTGTTTACACACCATTCGTTACTGAATAAATATTGCTCTCCTTTGAGCTGAGGAGCAGGGCCTGCTTGTACAGCAGGAGGGAGGTTTAAACACCTGCTCGAAGGTATTATCCTAGCATCTTTATCAAAAACAAAAATGATAGCCCCTTCTGCCATTATTTCTCTCCCCCACCCCTCCCACCCCCATTGTGGCTGGCTACAGGCCACACTTTTTGAATGTCCATATAGCTGTTGGTAAAAAGGAAAATAAAAAAAAGTTTAACCAAGTATTTATTTATTTATTTATTTATTTATTTATTTATTTATTTATTTATTTATTTTACTTATATGCCGCCCTTCTCCCAAAGGACTCGGGGCGGCTCACAGGAATTAAAACAATGAAAACAATAAAAATAGCTACTAAAATAATCAATTAAAATCTCCCAATTAAAAATCACCCATCAGATCAGCAAATTTGTTGGAAAAACCAGGCGGAAAGAGCGGAGGTCGGGGGCCGTCTGGAGCCCCGTGGGTAACCCGTTCCAGAGGGTCGGTGCGCCCACAGAGAACGCCCTCATCTAAGACTTGGACAAGCAAAAGTGGCAAACAAATAAGTATTGGAGAGCATAACACCAGATATGCCACTAGAAGGCAAAAATCCTGAAACTGCATCTCACTTATGTTGGCCATATCGTGGGAGGGAATTGACTGGAGAAAGAAATGATGTTTGGAAGAGTTAGTACGCCAAAGAACACGGCGAATGGACACTTATCAAAGGTGGCACCAGCCAGAGCAGAACTCAAAGAAGTAGTGCAAGATCAGAAGATGTGGAGAGACCTGGCCCATAGTATCGCCAAGAGTCAGACACAACTAAATGGATAAATCCTTTTTCTCATCATCTGTAAACCAATATAACAACTAAAATATAGGTCTAGGAAAGCAGATTCAAATCCAACCTGAGCCATTCTCTGTCAGGCAAACCCTGCCTCTCTATGTTGAGGTTGTGAGGTAAAACTAGAGGAGCACCCCTTGAATGATAAAGCTATCAAAGATGTGAGAAACTTATGTCTTTTTTTTTGGTATATTTTCACACGTCGCATTTCATATTCCAAACAAAAATGTTTGGGATTGGAAAATTCCTTAGCAGTCAACAGAAATCGCCACAGCAGAACTGGATTGAGAGAAAATAAGCACAACGTGAGATGAACATCTCTTGGGGTTCCTTGAGAATTCTCCTTCCCCTACAAAGATCATCAAAGTAAAGCTTGGATTATCCATTACCAAATAAGCTAGTTGCAGGAAGTACCATCTAACCTTAGATGTCCACCAGCTCAATTAGGTGGAATCTTAAGGAATCTCAGATTTTTACCCAGAAGATTCATCAAGACTACCTACCGATAGTAGCTCAACAAAAGGAAAACTTGACCTCTTCTCCTGCTTTGCATTCATTTGGTTTCAGCTGTGGGGTGAATCTCAGACAACTGTGATTAATGCAATAAATCCTAATTTTGGCAAACCACCACGAGTGAATCCAATCAGGACAAGATACCCCTTCTGAGTGCATCAAAATTAAAATTAGTATCTTTTGCCTCTCTCTCTCACACACACATACACAGAGAAATCTCCTCCCCAAATTCTCCTCATCATAGCAGCCTTGTTGCTATAGCAAGCCAGAAATTCTTTGTGATCTACTATAAATCACACAAGGAACTACCAGAAGATCCAGATCTTCCAATCCCTGAGGCAGAGTTGCTTGATCAACTGCAACCGCTTCTCCTGCCCAAGTCACAACAGAAAGTTCACAAGGCCACAACAGTGTACAGTAGACATACATCACAAACTTGTTTCAAGATCAGCAATCTTAATGACCTACAACTTTCTTTATCCACAGTAAACACTGCCAATGGCAAGGATGCTGGGAACTGTAGTCTAGTAGCACCTGCCTTTGCTATATTTAGGACTGTCCAGTTTTATAATCTTCTACCTTCGCTCACCTCTTCACCTCTCTCCATAATCCTGTGTAGGCAAATGCTAACTGCCCTTTATGAGAAGACCAAAAACTTGCAAGCATTCTCATTTCACAAGGGGGTGAGGAGGAAACCATGGATAAACGGTATATCTAAGACAGATCTCTTAAAATTGAGGGCTCATCTACAACACGGAAATGTCACAATAGGCCATGAGATCAAGGTCATGAAGAAATCCCAGTGAGGTTGTATACAAGAGTTTGTGAAACTCCATTCTGCAAAAACTCATTTGACACCTTGCCAAGACAGATTTTCTGCAATTGATCAACAGAATAAATGCTACCCACTCAACCTAAAAATAAATAAATAAAGGGATGGAAATAAACTTGTTCCCCAAATTGATGCATTCAAGATGGCTCCTACAGCTATCAAAATTATCACCCAATACAGGTAGTCCTCGACTTATAACAATTCGTTTAGTGACAGTTCAAAGTAGCAACAGCGCTGAAAAATGTGACTTATGACCCTTTTTTTCACACTTATGAATGTTACAGCATCCTCAGAGTTGCATGATTAAAATTCAGACACTTGGCAGCTGACTCATATTTATGGCAGTTGCAGCATCCCGGAGTCACACGATCCCCTTCTGCGACCTTCTGACAAGCAAAGTCAATGGGGGAGCCAGATTCACTTAACAACCATGTTACTAATTTAACAACTGCAGTGATTCACTTAACAAATGTGGCAAGAAAAAATAGTAAAAATAGGGCAAAACTCACTTTAACAAATTTCTCACTTAGCAATTACGGTCATAAATCGAGGACTACCCTGTATTCAATAAACACAGCATTTTTCCTAATCCCAACGGTCAAGAAAATTAGCTCATTCCTGAAGCGCATTATCTCATTCCTGGATCCCTTTTCTGGTCGTACAACAATGTGACCAATCATTGGGAACTTGATAACCCCTAACTTGTTTCTTAGAAGGACAGATCAGCACTTCCTTCCCAAGCTGTTTCATCTAACTGTAATCTTCCAACCTTCCTACTGGATAAACTTGGCAGAGGCAGCCCCAGTTCTCATATCCTTCCTTAGCATGGTCCCTTATGCCAAAGAACTCACAATGTACCACAGTATCAAAGATGGGTCACTTTGTCAAGAGCACCCAATGTTTTTCAAAGACCACGTTTAAATTAGGCAAGCTTAATCAGATCCCGAGAACAAAGCAACTATTGTCCTTTTTTTTTTTTGGGATGAGTAAGGATGAGAAAGGTAGGTGACAAGCATGAGTTTGTAAGAGGATCTTTCGAAGCCATGCCCAACTTACCGCCTTCCCTAACATTAGGGTGTAATCAGTGCGGACAACCTCTCTGTAATCTCTATTTTTGCTCCATTAATTTGTCAGAAGAGATATGAAGTGGCTTTGTGGAATTTTATTTCTCCTCCCTTTGACTGCATCTACATTTCTGGGGTTTCCCCCCCACACACACTCTCGCCCTCTCTTTTCCACAATGCCAGCCTATTTATCTAGCAGAGGGTGAGCCCGCTGCCAGCCAAAAGTTTATGCAGACAACCGCAAGAGCGCTTGGTGCCAGCCTCAAACGGGCTTCTACCTTGGCAGCTTGCCACTCAATTACAAGCAACAAGCATGCCGAGCAAACTGTGCTAAAAACATCCGTGTGCCTCTTCGCATTTTTTTTTAAAAAAATACTTTATTTGGGCCCAATGAAATGCAAAACAGAAGGTTTCAGGAAATGCTGCTTACCTGAAAGTTCACTTCTTCTAGGATTAGTCATTTTTTTTAAAAAAAAAAATTAAAACGTTCCAAATGTTCCAGATATTATAAAAAATAAAGTTGACAGGAAGCTATGAACTTTCATTTTGCATCTTAACCGGTTATGAATTTTCTTTTCATTTTCCAAAGGAAGAGTCTGAAGATCCCAGCTACAATCCCTACAGACACTTAAAACTTGGCAGACGAACCATCTGAATTTACTTCCAAGTAAACAGCCAGAAATCCTCTCATAGATGATTTAAGTAAGTCCCCTGCAATAGTGCAGAAGGCTGAACTAGATGATCTTTTGAGGTCCCTTCCAACTGTAAAAGGCCATATATAAAAGTGCAGGTGCCCTATTGCAAGAGGACCTGATTAACTAAAAAAAAAAAAGGAATAGCACCAAAGTCACACCTAGAAAATCCAATTTAACACCCTCTCCTAGAATATATAGATAGACGTTGATTGCAATCCTATATCTATAGACCCACGCATGAGCCCCTTAGAACATGGGATTTGTTGCAGTAGACAGGAATCTACAAGAACAGCCCTTGTAAAAAGAACTCAGACAAGCCCTTTTTGTTCAGGAGTCAAGCTCACTTATCGTAATGGGAAATCCTTCCGATTAACTTGGCAAACCCACAGCAAATTAAGAGCTAAAAAGAGCAAAATAGCAGCAGCAATAGAGTCATTAAAAAAAATAATCAAGAGTTTGGAATAAGGGAGGACAATGACAGGCGAGAGAGAGAGAGAGAAGAATAAAAAAGAGAGAGAGAAAGAAAGAAAGAAAGAAGAAAGAAAGAAGAGAGAGAGAGAGAGAGAAAGAAAGAAAGAAAGAAAGAAAGAAAGAAAGAAAGAAAGAAAGAAAGAAAGAAAGAAAGAAAGAAAGAAAGAACTTCCCACCCAAATGCTAGTTTTACTTAGTTTAAAAATGCGGTCTACTTACCCGTTGGTTTGAGAAAATCCATTGGGTATCTGGAGTAAGGAGGCGGGGGAGACTCTGGAATTAGAAAAGTACAGAGAAAATAAAATCAGAGCCATGGGAAGGGGGGGGGAGAGAGATAGGAACTTATGATAAGAGAGGCATTCTTGTAACAAAACTGTTTGTCTTAGCCTGGCGCTTGGAGGCAGGGCAACTTGGCGGTAACTGCCTTGATATTTAACTGCCAGATAAACAAAGGGGCCTCACTGGCGCCAGCCTCTTGCGCTATCTGTGCTCCTGTAGTTGTCTCGGCAGGGGCTTTCTGGCTGCACCCAGCGGTCCAGTCCTGGAAATCGCCCATTGATCCAGCGCTCCCGATAATCCCAACCAGCTTACTTGCAAATGCAATTTAACAAAAAAACAAGGGGAGGGGGGGAAGACAGGAGGGGAAAAATAGCAGGGGGGGCACCCAATACAAATGCATTGTTCTCCCTGCCTGGCACCCCCCCCTCCAATTGAAAAATCCGCCTGCACTGTTGGACATAACACAGCGCCTAAAAAAGTTTGCAAAGTGGGGAAGGAAGGAGGGAAGAAGAGGTGGGCTAAAAGTTTTAGTATAATTTTTTTTGGGAAGTGGGGGGGGCAAGGCTGCCCACTAATGGGGTTTAAACCTACCAAAGCAAGCCTCTCCCTTCCAGATCATGAACTTAATCCCCTCCCTTTAAAAAAAAAGGGGGGGAGGAAGAAAGACCCTTTGCAATTTCAACCATGATGTAGGGAAGATTCTCTTTCTCCTCTCCTACCCACACTTTTTTTTTAATTTTTTTTTTTTTTTTTTAGCCAATGTGGAAACTTAAAAGCAACTTGGCAAGAGGAGAAAAGCAAACAAGATTGAAGGCCTGGAAATTATGTGTTGGCTTTTATAGTTTTGAGGCAAAGAGGCCCAAGGTAGGCGGGAGGGCACGGAGGATGCAGGAGCCAGCCAAGGGTTGGAAAGCTTTTTTTTTTTTTTTTTGCTAAAATGGCTAGATTTGTGTATTAAAGCTACAAAATCTCTTTTGGAAGAAGATTTTTCCAAAAGCCTTCAGTTTTTATTTAATTACACACCCTTGTAGTGTTTTTGTTTTTTGCACAAAAACACTACAACTTTGCCTGCCTGCCCCCTGGTTGCATCACCGTTTTAAAAATAATTTACTGTCAAATTCGGAAACATTTCTTTGCTGAAAAGAACTCTAAACACATACAGTTGCCCTCTTCATCCATTCCTCCCCTCCTCCTAACCAGGAACTTCAAATGCACACATCTACATAGATTCTCAATCATCCTGATCAAGGTTGTCCCAAAAGTGCTTTTTACAAAAATTGGGTCTTTTTTTTTTCTAATACACCCACAAAAGTATCCAAAATGCAAGCCAATTTTCAGAAGGGGCCTAAAATCAAGACTCTCCAGTTCTGCCTCCCACTCCCCTTTGCAAAATTCCACTCGGAATATCAAAATAATAATAATAATAAAATAAATTAAAAGCCTCTTTTGGGGGTATATGTTTAAATTTTTTCCCCTTCCCCTCAAGAGAGGTTGGTGGGACACACACACACAGAATCCTGGCTGGGACAAATACTCACAATCCCAAACTGGATCTTCTTAACCTATAGTCTTAACCTTTCCCCCTCCTAAACTGATGCAGGTGCAAGAGATTTAAGGATAGAGATCCTGGCATCTCAGGCAGGTTCACCTGAATTCTCTAATGTTAGATCCCCATCTCACCAAGTGGGAAACCCAGAGGAAGTTTCCAATCAAGGTAGCATCCCTCCCCTCCATCTCAAGTCTCAAAGGGGGGGAAGGCTTTGTTTTGCAAACTGTGGGCATTTTGGGGAGGGGGGAGAGGCTGGGGTAGGAAAGGGGGAGGAAGGGGGAATCAACATCGGAAAGAGCCCGATGCAAGCCGGCTTTTTTTTTTTCTTTTCTTTTGTGGCTCAGCACGTACCTAGCTCGCAGAGTCTGCTCAGGTGATAGGGGTTGCAGCAGGCTAAGTCCAGGTGAGTTTTCCCGTAAGATTCACAGCCGCAAAGCCGCTTGACTTCCGAGCCAGGCCGGAGATCGGGCCATCGGAAGATTTTGCAGAGGAGCAGCGGGAGAGAGTACCAATGCTGGCCCAGTTTGGAGTCCACCTTGGTGGGCAGGAGGAGGCACGAGGTCCTGGTGCCTCCGCGGGATTCGACGGCTTGGAGCAGGACCTCCAGGTGCTTCTCCTTCAGCCGCTTCAGCACCGAGTGGGCCAGCGCTTTCAGTTCAGCCTCCGACGATCCGCCGTGAGCCTTGGCCGCTTTCCCCGGCTTGCCCAGGCAGCAAATCCGGCTCCCGCCTCCTCCTCCTCCTCCTCCTCCGGCCCCATGAGGCCGTCCGTCCGCAGCGCCTTCTGCGATCTCGCCGGCGCCTTCCTCTCCGCCGGGCGCCCGGCTCCGCCAGAGTCTTCGGACGAGCACCGATCGTTTGGTCCTGAACATGCGGGACGAGAAGAAGGTTCCCCGGCTAAAAAACGGGCATGTCGTCCGCAATTCATGAAGGAGTCGGGAGCCGAGTCCAGGCAGCCAGTAGAAGGAGCCTGAAATGATCGGGGCGAAGAGGGAGCTGGGGGGCGGCGGAGGGGGCGCTGCGGCGGCTGCTGGAGCGAGACCCAAAGCGAAGTGCAGCATGCGCCAGTCTCTCAGCGGAGGCTCGGCTGGAAGGCGCCCGCCAAGGCTCCCCTTCCCCTTCGTCTCAAAGCCGCCCTTTATGGAAAGGGGGCGTCGGGAGAAGCAGACCCCGAAGGAAGCCCGGGATAAACCGGCATGCCAAACCGGGACTTCTCTCCTCGGGGGTCGGTCGGGGGTGGTGGTGCCCAACCGAAGCGGAGGGTCAGATCGCAACCCCTCCGGTGGGCTTCTCCTCCGAACCCTTCCCGGTCCCCCCCACCCCACCCCGCCCGTCCTTTTCTCTTTCTTCTCTCCCCCCCAACAAGCGAGGCTTTAGTTAGATCCTCGGCGGCGATCCAGGGAGATCGAGAACCCCCTCCTCCAAAAAAATTAAAAAAAACCCGGAGGGGGAAGAAGAAAAAAAGAAAAAAAAACCAAGCAAAAAAAAAAAAGAAGTCCGAGAGATCAACTCAGGATCAGATCTTGGGGATCGAGGCAAAAATCTACCTGTTTCACACACACACAAAAAAAACACCACCCAAATAGGCAAGAGAGCGGAGAAGCCCCCTTTTTCGTCGCCCGGTATCCGACGGCCAAAAGGGTCTCCCGGAGCTTCTCCGGCCGCCTTTTCCGCCCGTCGGGGTCTCCCTGCAAGGAGGAGGGCGGGGTGGGTGGGTGGGCGCGCGTGCCTTCCTCCGCCGGGCCCCCTCCTCCTCCTCCTCCTCTTCAGCCCCCTCGGAGTCGCCGGCTCCCTCGGGACGGTCTGCCCTTCGCCCGGCCGCTTTGATCTTCCTCCCGGGCCCGCCGGACGACGGAGCCGCGCTTGTTGTGTTTCCTCGCCCGTATAGACGGAGAGAGAAGAAGAGAGGCGAGGAGAGGAGAGGCTGGAAGCGCGGCGATCTCCTCCTCCTCCTCCTCCTCTTGCAGCTCGCTTACTCTCTCCCTCTCTCCGCCCCTCCGCGCGTCTCCCCGCCGGCGCCTTCTCGCGGGCAGCCCCAGAAGCCAGAAGGAGGGGACGGCGGAGCGGCGTCAAAGAAGGACCCGGCCGGGGACGGGCAAACAAACAGCAGCCTTTGCAGTCTTTGGGCAGCGGCGCTGCAGTGGCCGGGCTCAGCTCTCTCTGTCTCTCTCTTCCCCCCGCCGGCTCTCGGCTTAGCTTAGCTCGCCCGCCGCCTCCGCCTCCTTCCAGTTTGTGCAGACGGAGGAGGAGGAGGAGGAGGAGGAGAGGGAGGCGCGCTCCCGCCTGGCGGAATGGAAGAGGAAGGGTTTGCGGGCGTCGGGAAAGGCGGAGGGAAGGAGGGAAGGAAGGAATCCACCTTCTCTCTCTCTTTCTCTCTCTCTCTCTTTCCTTTCGCCTGGCCCTTCTTTTCTTCTCCTCCTCCGGCCCTTTCCCCACTCCCCCACTTTCTTTCTCTCCGCGCCTTCCTGCCTGCTTTCCCACCACCACCACCTCAAAGGTGCTTTGCACGACCCCTCCCCGCCCCTCTGCTCTTTTTCTTTCCCACTCCCCCCCCTTTTTTTTTTTTTGGTTTTTAAATCCCCTCAGGATTGAGCGGGCGATGCTTGCAAATGGAAGGTCTTTCTTGCAAGGGGCGGCCAGAGGAAGAAAATCATTTGGGGGTGGGGGGTGGGGGGGTGTTTGATTATAGGTGAGCTGCTTTGGCAATTGCGGGGGGGGGGCGAAACCCCTTTTTTTTAGCTCTTCTTTTTAGCTTTTGAAGTGTAACTTGGGTTTTAATTGGATTGTTTGAAATTGTGGGCCAAAAGCTGTATCATTCTTTTAATTGATTTTAAATTTTGTCTTGGTGCGTTTTTTTTTATCCTTGGCTGTGCACCGCCCTGAGTCCAATAGGAGAAGGGCGGTATATAAATTGAAATAATAATAATAATAATAATAATAATAATAATAATAATAATAATAATAATAATAATAATAATGAGAAGAAGAAGAAGAAGAAGAAGAAGAAGAAGAAGAAGAAGAAGAAGAAGAAGAAGAAGAGCTGTACAAAAAGGGGGAAGGGGCGCACGGAGTGCAAAAGCGGGCCCTCTGCTCTCTGGGGTCCCCGTCAGCCGGCCGGACGGCCCCAGCCAACCTCGGCTTCTCTTCCTCAGAGCCGCGCCTCCCCTCCCTTCCCTTCCCTTCCCCTCCCCGCCTGGCTCGCTCGCTCTCAGACTGTGCAGCGGCGCTGCCCGGGCCCAGGCGCCCCGCCTCCTCTCCTCCTCCTCCTCCCCCCTCCTCTTCTTCCCTCTGGTCACGTGGGCGTCTAGACACCCTGTCGCTTTTTTATTTAAAAAAAAAAAAAAAGAGGCTGTCTTGCGCGAAGGCGGCGTCGAGTTTCTGAAAGCTATTTCTCTCCCCCCCCCCATTCCTCCTCCTCCTCTCCTTGCAATTCCTGAGAAGGCAAGAAGGGGAGGAGGAGAGGGAAGAGGAAAGCCGTCGGGCTCGGAAAGATTGAAGGAAGAAAAGTCCCTAGGAGGGGGAAAAAAAAAAACAGAACGCCGAAGAAAAAGTAGAAATATTCCTCCCCCCCTCACAAATGGGGGTCGCTGGGTCGTTTCTAGACTCTCCCACTACCCCCCCCACCCGCTTTGCTTTTCTTCACTTTTTCTATTTAAGAACGTCGCGATGGATGGGAGTGGGGGAGGGGGTAAAAAAACCTGAAAAAGTTTTGCAGAGCCTTTGGTGACCTTTGAATAAGTCTAATAAACCTCTAATAAATGCGGAAGATTATTTCCCCCTCCCTCCCCCTCTCTCTTATACGGCCACTTGATTTACTTGGTTGGTTGGTTTAAACCAAAATTGCTTGCTTGATGAGGAAAATAAAAAAAAAACAAAATAAAAAAAATCTTTTTATTTTCAGAGGCCGAACCAGCAACGAGGTCTTGCGGCACCTTGAAAGATGGATTCCAAATATTATGGCCCCGGGTTTTAAAATTGTAGAGGCATCATTAATAACTTCGGGATTCCCTGCATGAATCTCTAATCTGCACGGGATCAGGTTGCTGGGGGGGGGGGGTTCTGTGCCTGGTGTGTTTGGTGCTTTGCTGGGTTGGGGGAGAGGGAGATCGCTTTACCAAGCCTTTCCGAAGGATCCCATTGAGATTCATGGGGCAGGCTGACTTGGAACGCAGAGTTGGTCTAGAACAGGGGTCAGCAACCTGCGGCTCTGGAGCCGCATGTGGCTCTTTCATCCCTGGGCTGCAGCTCCCTGTCACTCAAAATATGCATCACAACTGCCAATGTTCGACACCCACCAGCATGCGATTTATTGAGCTTTTCAAGCCACCCTCCTCCCCCCCGGTAGGCCAACCATGAATAAATCCAAGAAAAGTTTCAGAAGAAAACAGAACATTTAATTCAACTACATATGCTAGTTTTGTGGCCGCTCAAGAAATAGGCACGGGAAGGGTTTTGTGGTTCCTGGTGTTTTCTTTTCTGTGGGCAACGGGTCCTAATGGCTCTCTGAGTGTTTAAGGTTGCAGACCCCTGGTCTAGAAATCACGATGCAATATAGAGAGATCCTGTGAATTTGTTCCAACTCCTGTTAACCTTTTTTAATATTTTCCCCCAGCAAAAATTGCCCTGAAATGGAGCAATTTCCCGCCCCCTCCCCTCTTGCAACAGATGCTTTCACAATCCATTTTGAAATTAATAGTCCCTTCACATCCTCGCAAGTTTTGCTGAGGCCCCAATCTGGTGTATTTTTTAAAACTTGACGACTTTTAAGATGGGTGGACTTCAACTCCCAGAATTCTCTCACGTCGGCTGAGAATTAAAGAGAATCTTAAAAGTTGTCACATTCTGTCTGGGGGATTCTGGGAGTTAAGCTATGGCTGTGATGGCGAACCTATAGCAAGCATGCCAGAGGTGGCACACAGAACCCTCTCTGTGGATATGTGCACCATCACCAGCTGGCTTTCTGGTTTCCGGTGTGCGCTTGTGCGCCAGCCAGCTGGTCTTTGAACGCGCCGTGCCGGCCAGCTAGTCTTCATGCACACCGGATTGCCGGAAACCCGAAGTCTAGCTGGCCAGTGTGCATGGATGCGTACGTGCGTTCCGGTTTGGGCATTCAGTGCCAAAAAGATTCGCCATCACTAACCTATGGTATCTTTAAAGTTGCAGATTCTGATGGGAACTCTGGGAGTTGAAGTCCAGCCATCCTAAAATTGCCAAGTTTGAAAAGTACTGCCTTAGACCCAGAGCCGAAGAGGCAACTGTGTCCCCGGTGCCTCCTTCACCCAGCAAGATGGTAGCATCACCCCCAAAGACTAAAGAGGGTCCCATCTGGTTAGAATTTGGTTGAGAGGTTATCAGGAAATCCCAGTGTTTCATTTATTTTTATGTTATTTATTTATTTTATTAGTTTTGCAAATAATTCAAGGCGGTGAATATATCCGACACACTTTCCTCCTCTTATTTAGCAGCCTGAGAAGTCAAAAGAACATTGAGGAAAGAAGCAACAAGAAAACACGTATATCTCTGGTTGATGAGAATGCAATGAGTGTGTTTAGGAAGTTGTCAGGATCCCAACTGAGCTTGTAGGACATTGTTAGAAAGACTCCTCTGAGTTTGCCGCATCCATTCCATGTTGAGATATAGAGCAAATGGATGTGGCTCTTCCTCAGCTTTGTGGCCAATAGGTTATGAGATGGATAGTAGAAGGTGGGTGGGAGATCTCTTGTTCAACATTCTGAGATTGGGTTATCTCCAATTCAGGGGTGAAATCCAGCAGGTTCTAACAGGTTCTGGAGAACCGGCAGCAGAAATTTTGAGCAGTTCGGAGAGCTGGTAGTGGAAATTTTGAGTGGTTCTGAGAACTGGCAAATACCATCTATGGCTGGTCCCAGAGTGGGGTGGGAATGGAGATTTTGCCGTATCCTTCCACTGCCATGCCCACCAAGCCACGCCCACCAAGCCACGCCCACAGAACTGGTAGTAAAAAAAAAATTGGATTTCACCACTGCTCCAATTCCATGTCAACCTTCAATTCCAAGGAAGTTTCCCGAGAAACTCTTTAACAGTCCAATTCAGTCTTCCCATCTTCAGTTCTGAGTTATCCCAGATTTATGCTTAGAACTCAGTGGGAAAATGATCTTGTGCTCCACTTGGTTCAGAGCATGGTCTTTGGAGTTCTGACAACAGATATAGTGTTACGATCTTGGTAATCACCTTTAAAGCCCTTCATGGCATGAGTCCAGGTTACTTGAGCGTGTTGTGGTCCGCCAGCAGCC